TGTGTTGAAATGAATGAAGGACTAGTTCCTACATGACTTCACTTTCCCATTAGGTGATTAGTTGAAACGGGTGATACTGTGGTCCCAAGGGGTCCCAGGCATCTCTTCCCAGCTCTCTCTTCCATGACCTAGGGTTGGAAGGTTCAACCTGTCTACAGTGAGAATATTGAAACCTCAAAAATCAACAAGTATGGTGAATTGCGGTTCCTACCCACCCATCCATGTAGGTCTGCTTGTTAAAAGGTGTTCAGTCGCCTGAAATAGACAATATTCCACCCTTATGTGACTTAGGACAACAGCAAGTTCACATCTTGGTTTCAAGACATGTTGTAGGTCTTTTGAGTTCAGGAGGTAGAGCTGAGGAATGATTTTCTGACACAAGCGTTGTGGGTGACAGTTACTGCATTCCCCTCTGTCATAACCCATGTATCCTAGCACCGGATAGGAAGGCAAAGGCCCCTTTAGTTGATGGAGACAGCTCAAGTGATAGGAACTGGGGTATACATATACCTGGGCTGTGTCGGTGTACAAAAAGAAGATAGTTAAGCCAATGAACTAAACCATTCCAACGATATTAAATGTTTTGGCCTCATGTACCTGGAAAACATAAAAACCAAAATGGCGCCCTGTGTATGCAGACTGTAGGAAGGTCTTTGGTGGGGTTGAGGCAACCTGCCCGCATTTTGTCTACATGGAAATGCCTATGCCGCCGATGTGTGACATAACCAAGGTAGGTAACTTCATTTTATTTATTTTTTTTCCACAAATTCAGATAGCAATAACCGTCAAGTAATATTTAATGTGTTTCAAACAGAAACCATTGTTCTTAGAGTTTTTATCTTGAGTTAAATAATTATTGAAAGTCTTGTTATTTTTATAGTAGATGACAATGGGTAGTATTTCTGTAGCCAATGGTGAGAGATCAGTCTTCGTCATTTAAATTGATTAGTGACATTCCTGACTCTTATTTGAAAGGGTGTGTTTTTAAATTCTTATGCATTAAACTAATGTCGATTGTAAAGCATTTTGATTAAAGTTCTTTCATGTAAACAAGTTTCTTCATACATTGTGGAATTTCCTAACTGAAGTATATCAGTGATGTTTCAAAATTTTTATCTACATTACAACATGTTAAAATCAGAGAAGCATTGAATATTTCATATGCATTTCTTTTAAGAATGTTGGGAATCTCTTTTTCAATATAATTTAATTTGTTTTTTAAACTCACGTTAGCTTTTTTCTTTGCAATAGTATCATTTTAACCCCCAAACTACATTTTCACAGGATATCTAATATTTTTGCAAATAACATTTTGACTTTGTTCTTCTTGACATCTTTTATGTTTATATGCATTTTGCATCACCCTCTTTCATTTTTTCGAAATCCAAATGTAACAGATTTCAACTTTTTGTGTTACATTTTTTTTTTCTTTTACTGGGTGGTATCTCTCTCTCTCTTCTGATTTTTTTGCAAACCTGTTGTTTTTGAATTCTCTTTTTTCCCTTTATTTTCCTTCTCAATATGACCCCAGGAGCCAACACAAAGAAAAACGCAGATGATATAACCAGTAATGACCGTGGTGAAGATGAAGGTATTTTTTGTTTTTTCAAAGCTCGACCCTGATGCATGATTTTATACCTATCTCTCTCTCTTTTTCTTTTTTTTTCCCATTTCAACCTGTTTTTCCTCCCCTTACCTGAAACAAGTACACTTTAGTGTGCTTCTTCATTTTCTTCTTGTTGGGAAACCACTGTCATTTTTAATTCCAATGACCATGTAGATGACTGCCAGTCACTTGTGAGAAGTCATATAAGCATTGCTTCTAAATGTGAAGTGAGTAACCAAATGTGATTTGCAAGAAAGTCCACCTTTTTGTTTTTTGTTTTTTGGTTTTTGTTTTTTTGGTCACAAGAAGAGAAAATGGAATTTTAAAATATGCATGTATTCTTTCTTTTCTTCTTTCCAAATGTTCTTTTGAAGTTAATATTGTATTTTGGAGCTTTGGTCTTTTTAATTCCTTCTATGAACTGCAAACTCGGCAAGACACTTCGGTAGAGCTTTTTTGGGTGGGATAGCATGTCAATTTTTGTTTGTTTTTCAACATACTGATTCCAAAATGGGTTTCCAAGAATCTCTTCTGACTCACAGTGAAAAAGTGCATTAACGAGATGTTGCCATTTCTTTGAGGACTGCCTTTTAGCATCATTTAAGAAAAACAAATAGGGATAGCAGAGAATTGAAGTAAGGTCAAAGAGTTAGTTCCATGCATCCATCTTTTTACACCACAGCTGTTTTGAAAACAATCTTTTTCCCCCAAAAAAATGTTTGGTTGCTATGGAATGTTTCTTCTTGAAGGATCCCATGTTGTTTGACAGATTATCCACCAGAAGTTAATTTTTTTTTTAAGATGGAAGATATGTGACATCTGAGCAACCACTTGCACATTATATCCTACTTCTTTGGCAGAATAAATGGTGTAAAAGAAAAAGAAAAGCCTAACATTAGTTGCTGTGAAGGCTTTATAGGATAGGTAAAAGCATGTCCTTCCCATCTGAGTAACAAAATGCATGGATGTCCACTTATGTACCTTAAAAGAAGGAATACCCTTGAGGAACCTTTGGTTCTCTGGCTGCAAGGCAATTTGAACACATAATCCAATATACAGATGATGTATTATACAGCTTCCCACTTGAAACTTATATGATCTTATTAACCAATGTCTCCCCAATAAGTTTAATAAAATCTACAAAACAGAGAGGAAGAGAAGTGAGTGGTGAGGTATCCTTGCCGGGTGCCAGAATTTCCCTGAAAATGCCTTTTTATCATTTGTTTCATTGATATATATCATTGCCCTCTTTGATTTCTTATAAATCGACTGCTGTCCACGAAAAGTTTTGCCAACATTGCTTTCACGCCTGGTCTTCTCTTTATGTTATTATTATTGTTGTTGTTGTCATTGTTATTGTTAGTTATTATTTTATTATTTTACCGGCATTCACGGGCTATCCTTACGTCTAATGGCTCTGTAGTGATTCCTCAATGGTGTCAGAATGTGACATCCTACGTGACATTCATCAGGCAGCCTGTCATTTGGTCAGAGCCCCAAAATGCCTGCAGTTTTATCAGTATTCAAAAATGTATTTAAGAAATCCTTCTCCTGGTTGTCTGATACCTCTGTGGATATAATTTGCATCTCATTCTGCTCTTTCTTTTTAGTGCATTTTCTATTCATCATGAGGGTTTGTTCTCACAATGCAACTTTGTCACCATTACAATGGCCCCATTTCATTGACTACTGATAACCTGTGATTTTTTTTTTTAAACTTTGAGTTGATAGGCATTTGGTTACTCCTTCCTCTAGTTGTGTGTCTCGGAAGGAAAGAGATGTGAAGCTAGCATTTTCTCTGAGGAGCCCCCTGAAAGCAGCCCTTCAAAATCTCGACTGTTCCCCTTTCCACAGTGTAGTTGCCAACAGTCCCCAAAAGTAAAAGAAATAAGATCAAAACAGCAAATCAGGGGCCAGCGGGAGCAATGGACCATGCCCAAAGCCACCACTTATAGAGATAGGTTTATTTAAAAATTCCATGTATCCTGTGACAAGTCCATGACTAATAAAGGATTTTTACTTCCTATTTGAATTTTATATGGGAGAATAAGAGATGTTTTTTGTTTTTTATTCTGTCCTGGATTAGTGACAGGCACACACGTGGGCAGCTTGACATTCTTTCTGTACTTAACTGTGAGCAGGGAGTTTCTCGAACTTTCTCTACGCTTTGTACTGGTAACTAATGAACTCATTTTGAGGCTGTCCTCATAATGAATGTTATTCCTAGTCACCATCGAAATGATGGTGGTTCGTTGCCCTAAAATTCTTTTCTGATATTTCGAAAGTGTCTTGGGGATTTAGAATTAAAAAAACACTGTTGAAAATAATGTGAAAATAAATATATTTAGGTACATTTGGGGTTTTTTTGGGGGGTTAATATACAGATATTGAAATTATTTCACACACACACAGAAATAATTATAGGTGAGGTCAGACTTCTTAAACATTAAATGTAATTCTAAGGGACAATTTTCACTAATCAGGCTATTGAATCATATTTTTTCAGAAAGCAGGCTCTGCAAATGGGCAAATGGTCTCCACATTTCTATCGCCACAGACCATTGCAAAACATTGTTTTTACATCATTGTTCAATATAATAATAATGACTAAGCGTACTCACTGGTTGCAGATCAGAATGAGAGTATATATTCCCTGTGAAAATCTACAGCATTTCAATCATTTTTGTCTTGAGGTTGGAATCTTGTGCCATTTTTATTACATCTCTTTGCTTTTTTTGTCACTTAAATATGTTGGGGTATTGTAATCTGTCACGCAGAGCAAAAGCACTTGCTTGGACATCTCTTTTGGTTTTATTTTTGTTTTTATACATTTCTATTTTATTGATCATTTTTAACCATTTGGTTTTTTATTTGTTGTTGTTGATTTATTGTCCTGTACTCAGAGTTTATAGTTTCACTACGATCTTATGTTCTCATGGTTCAGCTCACCTTTGACTGAAGATGACAGTGCCAGTGAGAATAAATTATCATTTTGAATTCGATTTCACACTTAGAGGATACAAATATATTTTGTAATGGATGCCACGAGCATCTTTCAAAGTCACCTTTTAGGATTTGAGCGCTCCTTAGGAAATAACTATTTCTTTGAAATCCTGTTTTTTAGAGTTTTAGATCTATACAGAAATGTACATAGGCATACAGATTAGTTCAGATGCCAGTATGCTTCTCAAAATATCATTTCTGTGAGTAGAAAATACACTAACATCGGCCATTTTTGGTAGGCAGTCTGATTCAGGCGCATCCAATTAAAATATAGACGACAATGATTGAAGCCAAAGCTAGGAAAAGTAATCCGTGTCTTTTGCCCTTTATTGAGCATCCGTTGATCAGTGCAGTTCTTGACGGTGTCTCCTTCCTTCCCCTTTTTTTGCAGACATCCATGATCAGAACAGTAAGAAGCCAGTGATGGTCTACATCCACGGTGGCTCTTACATGGAAGGCACTGGCAACATGATTGATGGTAGCATTCTGGCCAGCTATGGGAATGTTATCGTGATCACCATTAACTACCGCCTGGGGATTTTAGGTGAGTGATTCCATCCCGGGAATGATGGGGCCAGAGCCGTGAGGAGGCTCTGCTTGTTGGGCGGTGGGGACCGATGGATTGAAATTGCATTACTCCCACGTCTAGGAAATTCTGTGGAACACACGCTCTTCCCGCGTAGGATCTGTTTGTTCTTTTTAACACTTTCTTGTGGCCCCCTGTGTGATGCGATGTGTAGGATGACACATTTGGTAATGAGCAATCATGTGGCAAGAGCTGGTAAGGGCCGTCGATACTGGCTCTCTTTTGTGGTTGTGTAGGTGTGTTGTTTAGGTCCTTGTGTGTGGGGAAACGTGTTAGCGATATCCCTAGCAGACTGTGTTTGTTGGGCCTCCAAGAACTGCTGTGTGGTGACATGGCTTTTGCATCTGCGTGCAACGGAACTTCATGCTTTTTGGAATTTTGTAACGTTTTATGACTTTCAATGAAAGGACGTTGACTAAATGTGTGGGAATCCAACAGTAGATCTCCATTGTGTTGGTGTTTAATTCACGTCTCCCCAACTGGGTGTTGGAAAACTGTATATTCCGGGGGGGGGGCGGGTCATATTTTGAGATATACTTTCTTTTGTGGCTTTGCCTGCTGTTGGACGTTTCAAGAATAAACCCTTTCTAGACCTATGTGACAACGTTTGTTTTCAAGGCAAAAATACTTTGGGATGGTGCAGAAAATTAAACGTTTAACAACATGGTTCTGAGAGTGAGATCTGTATGTCATTGTGGTTCTGGTAAAATATTAAAAACCAAATAAAATGGATTAATGGTGCTCTGTCAAACACGAACGACGGCTGAAGCTGTTTTCTCCAAATAGATACCTATCACCCACAATATCTTATTTTCAACCTTGATAATTTTAATTTTATTAAATTTTATTTAATTTAATTTTATTTAATTTTTTATTTAATTTAAATTATTTATTTAATTTTATTAAATTTTATTTAATTTAATTTTAAGGTTTTTTTTTTCTTGCACATATGGAAACATTCACCTATAAAAGACCCCAGAAGGACGGGAGTTGTAAAGTGCTTTTCTAACCTAGAAATGGAGATGACCCCCACATGTTTACAAAGCTATACCTGTTGGAGCATTGAAAACGTACTCGCAGTTACTTGTTGGCTTTCAAAGATAACTAAAATCCTTGCAGCCAAGAGCTTTCTCTTTGCAGGATTTTATTTCATTTTCCTTTTTTTTTTTTCTTTTACTTTACTACGTTCTATGAGCCAGATCTTTGTGGAATCATTTTAGCTACTTGCACATAGCGAGTATTTTCTCAGAGCCCTCTGGCTACTTGCTTTGGCCGCGAGGGTTTGAAACAGGAAGTGGTGTTTCGTGATCTTTCACAAAAGGCCCATTCTAACCAGGAGGTGGGAGGGAACACGGCAGGCCCTGCACGGAGCCCTTTCAAAGAGCGCAGTGTGTTGGGCTTTGGGAGGTTGAGGGCAGCTCCAGGCGCCGTTTTCTGAATGAAGCAAATGGGCATTGAAAAGTTTCTGCTTTGGTGGAATCACAAAATGTTCTCCTGCGCGCGTGACGTGGGGATGCCACCTCAGAGGTTAGACTTCAGAAGACATTGATTCCCCCTCTCGTGCCAAACGGCGTGAAGCAGCTCTTTGTGCTGGTCTCTTACCCGTTTGGCCCGCGGGGGGAACAAGCGCAGCTCTTGAAAAACCCTATGGGAGCTATATACGCCTTTGTTATGTTTAAGAAAAGAGGGGGGAACAAAAGCTTGCTTTTAGAACTTTTCCCACAGAAGGACGTTAAGTTTACCTTTTGCTATTGAGAGTTTAAAAAAAAATTCATGGTGAGAAGGAGAGCTGTATCAAGGGATGCCAGAGAATTAAAATAAAATAAGCCATTTAACAACTCTGTGCAAGTCTATTTACATTCCACAAACGAGCTCCTGCGGTGCCACGGAGAACACGACAAACCCCCTTTATCTGATGGAATGAAATGTGCCAGCACCGCTGGTTAGATTCGGTGGTAGAGGTCTTAACATGAGACCTACTTAGTTTTTTGTCCCCACGGGTCTTGCATTGGCTGTTGTCCTTTTGAAAGTTGTTAGCCAGCAGTCGCTTTTTGCGTTCAGGAATTAATTATTATCGGTCTCCAAAATATTCTTAAACCACTGGCATTGTGATTATGTAAACAATAATCAAGTAAAATGGCGAAAATATGCACTGCGGTGATCATTCCAATTAGTGCTGTTGATATGGACAGATATGTGTTTAGCAAAACGTTTAAGTATTGTTTGAGGTTTTTTTGTTCAAAAAGTCATAAATACATACATGCTCTTTTTCTGTCAAAGGAATGGAAAGTTATTGTGAGAGGTTATTATTATTTTTTGAACAGAGTAGCAGGTGCTGTTGCCCTACCCAAACGAGAGTGTTAAAAGATGAATTACGGTAAAAATGGAAGCAGGATGGTGGCATGGAAAGAGCGTAGGTTTTAAAATGAGACAGAAATGAACTGACATCTTCCTTCTACTCCATGTGACATAGAGAAAGTCAGCTAAATCTGAGTCTCTACAGACGTTAGCTTTCTCTCCCTTGCAAGGCTATTGCACATATAGCATAAAAGTCACAATGGCTTTATGGCTGGGAAATTTCATAGCCCGCAACTGGCGACCAGTATACCCATTTACCATCTAATTTCCATTGTTAATAATACCACAGACATTACAGTAATATCACTGTTGGTCCAGAGAAATAATTGCTACTGGCCACACAAGTAGTGGCTACTATCCATCAAATACCATCATCCAAACTGAGTTACCTTAATTTAAAAATAATCGCAAGACACTTGTCATGTGAAGTAAATGACTGGATCTTCACACTTGTTTTTTGAAATATGAGTGATTTTTTTTAAAGTTAAAATTTATTGGGGTGACAATGGTTAGTAAAATTACATAGGTTTCAAGTGTACAATTCTGTACTACATCATCTAATACATTGTGTGTTCATCACTCAGAGTCAGTTCTCCTTCCATCACCATATATTTCACCCCCTTTACCCTGTTCTACCTCCCTCTCCCCTTACCCTCTGGTAACCACTAAACTGTTGTCTGTGCCTATGAGGTTTTCTTTCTTTCTTTCTTTGTCCTGTTCCTTTGTTGCTTTCAGTTTTATATCCCATGTATCAGTGAAATCTATGGTTCTCGACCTTTTCTATGTGACTTATTTCGCTTAGCATAATAATTTCAAGACCCATCCACGTTGTACAAATGGCACTGTTTCATCTTTTCTTATGGCAGAATAGTATTCCATTGTGTATATGTTCCACCTGTTCTTTATCCAATCGTCTATTGAAGGACGCTGGTTGTTTCCAAGTCTTGGCCACCGTAAATAAAGCTACAATGAACATCGGTATTGAACTTGTGGACCCTGGGTTCAGAGAGTGTTTTTTTGTTTGTTTGTTTTGCTTTGTTTTGTTTGTTTTATCGGAAGTGTGACACAACCTTGCTAGCCATTGACCATATAATGTATTGCCTAGTCCAGAACACTTTGAGAATTGTTCATCTGTTGTTGATAAACCAGGATTGTTCCATACCAGCTGAGCTGTATCATCATAGCTATAAAGAGATTCTTTCTACCATGTGATGTCCTAATGATTTAATTGTGGTCCATTTATTTTCAAAGATATTCTTTTACAAGCATATTTCTTGTTTGTTCAGCTATACACCTTAGCCATTAGAAAGGCATATAAATCTAGAAGGTGAGTTCTATCCAATCTGCCTTTGTTTGTTTGTTTGTTTGTTTGTTTGTTTTGTTTTTTTGATGATTGTCCAAAGACCTTTGATATAAAATTAGAAGAGCAATGTCCTCAGTGATGCTTACTGGTGGTAGAAGCCCAAATTTACTTGTTTTTGGTCCATACCTCCCCTGTGTCTCTAATTTGCAAGACTTTTGTATCATCAGTTGGTGGGGTCTACCTCCATTCAACCATTCATTTTAGTTTAGCTCGTATGATATTACCTTTTTAGTTAGCCTACGATTGGATGCCTCATGCATGTTTTAAATTACTTGTGCTTTAAAATGGTGTTATCTGTATGCTTTGGCACCGAGTAATCACGAGCCTGCAGTGTGGCCAGCAGTGGGCTGCTGTGGGCTCTTAGTTCACTTCATCCTCATAAACTCTGTTGAAGGGGTTCGCTCGTCTCACTGATGAGGAAACAGAGGCTCACAGGTGGTGGGATTGACTCACAGCAACACCGTTTGTGGGGATGAGAGCTGGGACTGCAACCCAGGTCTCAGAGAAGCCAAAACTCCAGTTCTTTCCACAAGATCTTACCTCCAGCCTTGCCGTTCAGAGTTAACTGGGAATCAGGTCCACTGCAAAATGAGTCAGGAAAACGAATGCCATGCTAGCATCAGACTGAGTTTCTGTCATGGCACAGAAATATGTCAGATGGACTCATGGTTGGTCTAGATACAAAATTGTGACGTAACGACACTTACAACACGCTCTGTGTGTGTTCCTCAGAGCGGGTCCTTGATGGCTGGTTCATTTCCATTCGATTATTATTGACGGGCCATGATGGTACATGGTGGTGACGGCGGTGTGAGCCCCCGCAATGGCGTTTGTGACGTCAAAGCTCCTTGGCACCCTAGATCTATTGTTGTATCAGCAAGCTGCGTGTGCAGCCGCTGGTGCCATCTCGTTGCCTGCTTGCTGTCTGTCCCCATTAATGAACAGAAGCTCATTGGGCCAGATGATGACATCAACAGATTTCTCACCTGATGGGGCTTTTATGGTCTGAAGATATGTTACCCACAGTTTTTATAAATGACTTTTTCAAGGATTCAGAAAGTAGCAGAAGCACCAGCTTCTTTTCCAGGTATTGTTAGCGCTCCTGAAGGTTTTCATCTCAGGGAAGGTGGTGGAACGGTATTGTGTGTCCTGAAGCTGGCTTTCTCTTTAAGGTCATTAATTGCATAACCTATTGAGGTGCACTCACATCATAACTTTGACCACGAGGCAGAAATGA